TGGTTGGCTGGCTGTCAGCCAGGAAACTGGGGGAAACTGGGCCACGTGTCTCTCATCCCCTGGCAGGCCAGCTCAGGCTTGTGTATGTGGCCATGGTGGCAGTCTTCAAGAGAGCAGGCAGAAGTGTGCAAGACCTTTTGAGACCTCAGCTTGGAATTGGCATGAAAGCATTTGTTCTACGTTCTGTGGCTCAGGGTAAGTCACGTGGCTGAGTGCAGATTCAAAGGTGGGGGATCCCCTAAGATCCAGTGCACAGGAGGGGTCCCCAGATGGTCAGCCATTTGACTCGGGGTCAATACCTCCTCGTTGGCACCTGCTGAGAGAGCTCGTCTCTCATGCCTGACGTTCCCTCCCATAGACGAGCAGCTTGACCCCCTTGACATCCACAGTCCCCCCTCGGGGCTACCATTTAGAACCTTAGCCATCAAGCAACGGGGACCTCTCATGGATGTCCACCCCTCGCAGCCTCTAAACATGGGCCAAGGGAAACAACTAACTTTCAGCTGCAGAAGCAAAACTTGATTCAGTCTAATGAGCACCCATCAAAACTGCAGGTTTTATATAGAAAAAGTTAGGTTTCCAAATAAGCCAGCAAAGTAGAGCCTGAGTTTGCAGCCTGGGGAAGCCTGGTCACCACGTTCTCAGAAGACTGCCAGCAGGGGTAAGTCTGAAGCCACACAGCAGTGGGCAGGTGGGGATTTGTCCTTTGCCAACGCAGATGGGGGCTTTCTTAGCGGGAAACCCTGCTCCATCCTGGGGGACGTTTCTGAGAGCAAAGACGAGTCCTGATGTTCTGAGCGGGCTTTAGAGCCCCTCGTCTCATTTCCCCAACTCCAGCCATCACTTGGTACATATGGCTGTCTTTCTGGAGCACCCCCACTATGGCTTGCAGCCCGCTGCCCGGCACCCCCAGGCCCAGGTGCACAAATGCCTGGTCACGGGCACACCGCCAACTTCACTTCCGGTCATTGGTGATGTATGTTACAGGAAAAGAAATCTTAAGAGAGTACTGCTGCTGTTGTCAAGACTGTCCTAAATGCGTGCATTTGAGCTTTGCGTAGATGTGAAAAGAACGAGTCTTGGATCACCGGGACCCGTTTTAACGACTCGGTGGCGGGATGGAGAAGTGCTCTCTGCTTCTCTGTTTGTGGACGCAGAGATGTGGCTGGACTCCGCCATCTTTTCCTCCTCCTAGCCCTCCTTGGTTCTTTCTCCTCTGTCCCCCGCCTCCTCCCCAGGGTTCCCTCTCTCCCCTTGTAGCCGAGAGCATGTTTCACGGTAGAAACCCCCGGTTTCTATCGGATGATGCTGTCTCTCACAACAAGCCCACAGTGGCCGGGCCCTTCCAGCTCCTCTGCTGCTCCTTATGCCGTACTTCAGCCACCATGCCCATTGGGTTTTCACCGAGAGCTTGCCCTTCGGCCTGTGGTGGGGGCCGTGAGGCAATTGAGAAGCATATCTCGTGTGCAAAGAGTTTGGGAGGCCCTCACCATCCCATTTCGGGATGCCTGGCAGGCATTCCTGCATCTGGTGCCCCCTTCCTTCTTCCCCCTGCTGTCCTTCCTTCCCAGGCCTGAGGTCCCAGGAGCCAGGGGAGGAGGGGGGTGCAGTCAAGGACGCTGGGAAGAGGCCCTTCCAATTTCTGATACTCTGAAGTCTGGGAGACAGCAGACTCATCCACCGCCAACTTTTCTCGCACATTCTGTAATAGCATTTCCAACCCAGGGCACCTGCAGTTGGCCTTTCTGATTCTGACCATGTCTGCACACCACCTGCACGATGGGAGCTCTACTAGTTTTCTTTAAACCAACTCACTTTTTAGACGTCTAACCACGGGAGGCCAGTATCATTTGCATATAAACAGAAGATAATTATAAAGTAAATGTGATTATTTTACCAAAATACTGCTTGCTGCCTAAAAAAAAAGGATTTGAGCGTGAATCCCGTTCTCTTTGTTAAGAGGAGATGTAGCAGGAGTTCAAAAGGGTGTGAGAGACATATTGGCACCAAACGAGCCTTTCTTCTTGGCGGACATAAAGGACAGTTGAAGCGGGAAAGGCTTTCTCATGGTGCCTCCAAAAATCATGTCCCATATATCTCTGTCCACGTGTTTGGGGAGCAATGATTTCGGATCCCAGATCTGCCCCCTTCCTGGCTGTGTGGCCTTGGGCAAGTGATTGTACCTCTCTGAGCCTTAGTTTTCACTCTGTGCCCTGAGGATAATAATGCCTCCCCTTATTCTGGATGCAGCCCTGACCCCCTTCTTTCACTGGGACCCCTCTGTTCCTCAGCATCTCCGGGGCATGATTTTCTGGTTGAGACTTCAGTGTCCCTGAGTTACCAGCATCTACCTAGCTCAGGTTCTCAGGTGAGGCTTTGAAACCTAAGAGAATATGGCTCCTGGAGGAGAGCTCGGGAAGGGGTGAGCTCCCAGGCCTCTTAGGCAGTGATAGAGGAACACAGCAGTTAGGTGTGGGGAGGCTGTCAGTCCTTGGCAGGAGCAAAGCCCGCGCTGACTCTGCAGTTAGCGTCTGATTTCGCTGAGTCGGGAAAAGGCTGACAGGTCTCTATGCTTCTGGCTTTTAAGCCACCGGGCACATTGGGAGCGTGAGCCCAGGACAGGTGTAGACGAGAGGAGCACAATTTGATCTGTTTTCAAGGGCCAGCTTGCCGATCTGTTGCTAAACCAAACCCGAGCAGAATTCAAATGACCCACGGGGCCATGCGGTTCCCTGGGGATTTTCCGTTACGTCCGGGTGCCGTGTAGGAATTCTCCAGTGTCTCCTTGGCTTTCTTTCTTCAGACCTGTGGGCACAGTGATTTCCAGCCTTTATAGACACAGGCTCCTTGAAACAGTGGACACCCCTTGTTTTGATCAAGAGAAAATAAGACTGAGAGATCCCTCTGCCTCAAGTAAGGACCGGGGTCTCCCTGTAAATTGTTTCTCATTAGGGGCTGGAGCATTGCTCCCTTTGGCATTGCTGAAACAGTTCAAAGGGAAAATTAAGGGACTTGGGGGCCATTGAGAGGTTACGACAGAGAGGATGTGGGTGACGGGCCGGAGGCTGAGTTTGGGCCTCTACTGGGCAGCATCCACTTGCAGGACTTAACCCCAGGACCCTGAGTTCATGACCTGAGCCAAAATCAAGAGTCAGACACTTAACTGACTAACCCAGATGCCCCTCTACTTTTCTCTAAAAAAGCTGTCAAGTCACCTTTATTGTTCTCTCCGGAAGGTGTATGCAAGCTGCCTTCTGTAGTCTGTGTGTTTTCAAGATAATGGAGTCGCTCCTGGGGGTTTTTTATGGATGTTCTCAGTGGAGCATTTAAAGCTAAAAGAGTTTGATCAAAATAAGCTCGGTCGGGCAGAGGGAGCAAATCCAGGTCTTATTTTGCCTCCACCACAGAGGGTGACAGACCTGGGTTCAAATCCCAGTCGGCTGTGCAGACGTAGGCAAGTGACTATACCTCTCTGAGCCTCAGTTTTCACTTCTGTGAACTGGGGATAATAAAGCTCCCCTTCAAAAGGGAGCTGGGCATCGAATGTTTTTGCCCACCCAGCATCCTTCCCCCGTTCCAGTACCAGCACCTTCTCCCACATTCTGGGGAGCTGTATCTCCTACGTAACAACCATGGTCTCCTAGGGAGACTGCTGATATGCCCCGCCCCCCAGGGGGCACATGACTCTGTCCTGACCAGTCGGATTCCTTCCCTGGGAAAAGAGCCATTCACGCTTTCTTTCCGCAGCGGCCAAGCTAGGAGGAGGCCAGCCTGGAGCTGCCTGTGACCATGTCTCCTGCATGTAGTGGAGCAGGTGTGGCTGGATCCAGGTGTTCGGATGAGGTCCTTAGAGCTCCACCTGGGTCCATGTCATCATTCCGCTCTCCTGCATGCTGATGTACACCGATTCAATGCCCATCTCTGAACCAGTCTCTCCCACCAGGCTTTATTGGCTAGAAGGGCTCATTTATCCATAACGTGGGATAGTCAGAGAGTTCCTGGGGGTCATCTCCCAAGGAAAGATTAAGGTGCTGTTCCCAAAGAAGGGCAAAGGGTCATGATAGGGAAAAGCCAAGACTGACTCCAGCATCCCTGGCAGAGAGAGCGTGTGCAAGGGCTGGAAGTGTGAAGAGGCCTTCCGTGAGCCCAGAATTCAGTGTGGCAGAGGGAGGGGCACAGGGGTTGGCTGTGTGACAAGAAAGAGGCTGAAGAGAGAGCTTGGAATGGGATCCGGAAGGGCCTCTTGTGCCCCAGGTAACAGTGAGGGCTCCACGTCAGTGGGGCTGTTTACATTGGGGGGAGGATGAGACGGGTCCCCCCATCCCCACCCCAACACGGACACGCTTTTGTACAAACTATTCTTGTCCGTTTGGGGACTCACTAAATATTTGATTGGGAAAGAAAGAATTCTCAAATTCTCCAAGAAAAGAGGAGTTCTAAAGATGGAGGGGCGCGAAAGGGAATATGCACGCGCCTGTTGAAAGGTGCAGTATTGGAGGGACAGCCTGGACTCAGAAGCCCTGGGTACGCTTTTATTTCTTTAAGTGAACTCTACATCCAACGGGGGGCTTAAACTCAGCAGCCCTGAGATCACGAGTTGCACGCTGCACTGGCTAAGTCAGCCGGGCGCCGCCGGGCATGCTTCCCGAATAGATGTAGTTCTCCTCCTGAGGAGTCCTGTGAAGTGTGATTATAATCATAATAAGCTGAAGTTTATTGAATACAATGGGCCTTAACATGGTGCTAAGTGCTTTATTTACACAGAGCATCTCAAGTTAATTCTCGTAACAACCCTATGAGGTGGGCATTATTTTACACGCACACATCCCTCCCCCCCGCCTCCCCCTCCCATTTCACGGAATGCGCAGTGGTCCAGAGAGGTGAAGTGATTTGCCCGAGGTCACACAGCACAGAGGCAGCAGAGGTGAGGTTTGAATGTGGACTTGCAGTGATTTCATACCACTCTGAAGTGGGCCCTTTTTGCTCCTCCTGGGAAATTTTTATTTGCTCCTTTCTGGCATGAGGATGATTTGCTCAGTTTCACCGGAGAAGAGGATGATCCTCCCCTGGACCTTGGTCATGCGGGGCCACCCAATCACAGGCAGGAAGCTGGCTGGGACTGCATTGAGGATGGCAGTCCCTGTTGGCACTGCCCACCGTGGTACAGAGAGGAGGCTCCGCAGGCTTGCTTGGCGAATGGGGAGGTCAGGCTGATGGGGAAAACCAGCAGGCCCATAATGGTGGCAGTGGCTGGAGACAGCAGGAAGGAACACCAGTGTGTCAGTCAAGGGTCTCTGGGCTAACCTCATTCCAGGACTCACTGATCCACCCTCCTATCGACCCACCGATTCATTGATCCATTCACTTAATATATTGATTTATTATCTATCCATTTATTCCATCACTCAACTAGTCTTCCACCCAGCTATCCATCTACTCACCCATTCTTTCAACCATATTCGAACCCTCTCATCTCTTCATCCCCCTCTCTACCTATCCATTCACGTATCCATCTACCTGTCTGCCCACTTAGCCACATGCACCCCACCCATCCATTCACCCACCACCCACCCAACCCCCACCCATCCACCTACTCAACCAACCATCCATCCATCCACCCACCTATCCATCCACACACCCAGCCATCCATCCATCCACCCAACCATCTGTCATCCACTAATATATCCATAGATCCATCCATCAGTTCACCTACTTACCTACCCACCCACCCATTCATTCATTCATTCATTCATTCATGCATTCATTCATTCATTCATTCATTCAACCCACCAATCTGTACATGCATTCATTCATCAAAACTGTTACAGGTGCTGTGGTGTGCACTAATGACAGTAAGGAAATACACTTTACACCTCCTCACCTTCAGGGCACACTCAGTGCACGAGAATCACATGACCCTAGCTCCTCTTGCTGCTCTTCAGCCACATCGGTCTGCTGACAGTTCTGCGAACATGGCTCGCTCGCGTGTCTCTCCCCTTTTGCCCCGCCGTGTTCCCATTACCTGAAGCTCCCTACTCTTATTTAACCAATTCCCAGCTGTGCTTCCAGACTCAGCTCAAGTGATACCTCCTTTAGGAAGCCTTCTTTAACATCCTCCACCCTCCTGGAGTTTTTCCTTGCATCTTGTGCTCATCCCTATCTTATCAAATATCCATTGAGTTGTAACTGCCTGATGTCCCCCCCCCGCCCCCAGACACTGCACAAGCCTAGGACAAGGACTATAGCTCCAGCCATTGATTCAACAGATATTTAGTGAACATCTATTACGTGCGAAGGCACCATGCCAGGAGCTGGTGATGTCAAGACAGACATGGCCTTGCCCTCAAGGAGCTGATGTTGTAGTGGAGAGAGATGAACAGTAATCAAGCAGGCAGATGAGGTAAGTAAGTGCTGTGAAAAATACAGAGCAAGGGAAGAGGTAGGAGAATCTCAGGAGAGGGGGGAGCTCCCTTACCTAGAGGCCATCGAAGATCTCACTGAGGCAGTGATACTTGAGCAACGTAGAGGAGCAAGACATGTAAGATCTGAGAAAAGAGAATCCCAGGCTAAGGGGACAAGTGTGGGGTATCATGGAACAGAAAGCAAACCATGTGGCTGGAGCAGGTTGAGCCTGGCAGAAGGGGTAAGAGGTGAGATTGGCAAGGGAACGAGGGCTTCATCAGGCAGAGCCTCATCGGCCATGACCAGGAGTGTGGATTTTACTCTGAGTGTAACAGGAAGTCACTAGAGGCTAGATAAACCAGTTTGAGTGGCCCGATCTGATTTCAGTTTTAACAGGACCTGTTCGGCCAGCGTGGCAGACAGACTCTAAGGGGCAAAGGGTGGCAGCAGAGAGACGTGTGAAGTGGTTGTCACTCTAATCCAGGTGAGAGGTGGTGGGGGATTAATTGCATGAGGGTTGCAATCAAGCCCTGGGCTACGCCATCCAGAGCCTAGATGGGAGTTAGAGAAAAGCAACCCTCCTGGGGAGGTGCAGCCCTGCCATTCCACACCTTAGCAAGTGGAGCATAGGCTAGATTTCAGCATCTCTCAGCCCTCGGCTGAGCTCCCTTGTGCAGTGCACAACCTGCTCAACTGTGTATGGTGGTCCTGGTAAAGATGATACAAAGTGGGTGGATGAGAGAGAAACAAAGGGGGACAGACTAGTAGGACTGGGTTTAGCTAAGGACAGGATTAAGTATTAAGGGTTAAGTATGTCATTCCCTCCCCACCATTTCTAGCTTGCTAAAGGACCAGAAAGTCTTCAATCCTAGGGTTTATCTCTGAGGTGCAACATGGGAGGCCAGACTCTGCTCACAGATTCATTCATTCGTTCATTCGTTCATTCATTCATTCTACAAACATGTCTGGAATGCTTACTATGTGACAGTGGGTTTACCTGCCGCTGCCTGCACCCCTGGCATTGGGCCACTGGCCCTTCTGGGACACAGTCCTTGGGGGGCCAGGGCCCAAGAGAGGAGGAGAACTGCATTAAAGGCCAACAAGAGCCATCCTCCAAGGAGAATTGCAGCCGAGACCTGTCAGGAAGAAAGAGGAGGGAGGGTGTTGAATGGGGCAGATAGGGGCAGGGGTATGTCTGTTTATTGGCCAGCTACTGAGTCCTCAAAACCCAAGAGATCTGTGCTATTATTATCCCCAGTTTGCATATACACAAACCGAGGCCCAAGGAGGTGGAGTCATTTGCCTCAGGACACACAGCTAATTAAGTGGTAAAGCCAGAATTAAGATCCAGATTTACAGCCACCATACCCCACCTTTACCGAGTACCTGCTATACGGCAGGATCACCAGGAGAGGCACCTTTTTAATTACCGGTTGCCGAGGCTGTATAATCTTCCTTAGAAGTGTTGGACTGGGAGTCCTGACTCCTTGTCCACATTGTCGAATTTGGTAATGTGCCTCATAACAGAGACTTTCAACACCGTAGCCGTGGTTTGCCGACTTAGCAGCCCTCAGAGGGTGGCCAGGTAGGTGTGTGCAGGTGGTACACGGCACAACCCTTGGAGATGCCTTGGGATCATCATAGATTTGCATATTCATTACACTTCTTTTCCAGCAGATGGCAGTATAGCGTCCTGAAGAAGGGGACCCTTTCCTTAATGTGTACTAAGTGCTGGGTGGACTTGCAGCTGCCTTCAGACTCATCCTGGGTGTTTGCTAAAATGCAGATCGCCAGACTCCACCGCACACCTACAGACTCAGAGGCTCAGTGTGGGGTAGGCGGTGGGGGCCAGACCTTGGCTTCCCCGCCACCCCCCGCACTCCCCGCCCCTCTGGTGGACGTGATAGAGCCCCCGAGGTCCCAGCCCAGGTCTTACCTTCCAGGCAAAGTCAGGAATATCATCCAGGGACCCGAAGGTCCCACAGCTCTGGTTCCAGCTGTCACCCCCCAGGCCGGGAGCAGTAGGTGAGGGTGCCAAAGGAGAAGGGGTGGGACTGGAACCAGGCGGGAGAGATGAGGCTAAGGAGCTGAGATGCAGGCCAGCGAGAGAGTCCCAGGGCTGCCCACATGCTGCCCGCCATCAGGGAGCATCGATGACCTAGCAGTCAACAGGCGAGATGAGGAGTGGAGGCTGCTGGGAAGGAGAGAAACAGGAGCTGGGGAAGGAGCCCCCAGTTAGGGACCTGGTCCTGTGTTCAGACGCCAGGTCCCCAGCCTCCTTTCTGCCTGCGGATGCAAAGGGAGGTGTTAGTATCTGGGGAGGGGGTGGGGCTTTGCCCTAACAAGTTCTGGGAGTAGAATAACCCCAAATCTTAGACTAAAGATTAGTGCTTAAACAGAACTTCGAACACTCTGGCTCTGCATGGGACATAGTCATCCCCAGTCCAGGCAGGGCCCCTCCTCTGTTTCCTTCCTTCCTTCATTCACTCATTCATTCATTCCTCAGCCCCTCAAGGCTTGCACTGTCCGAAAGGGCTGCGTCTCCCCAGAGGGGGTACCTTTTTCTAAAAGGTACCTTGGGAGCTCCCTTGGGAGCCTGCTTCTCCCTCTGCCTCTCTCTCTCTCTCTGTCTTTCATGAATAAATAAATAAAATCTTTAAAAGAAAAGATTTCACTTATTTATCTGAGAGAGAGAGATAGTGAGCATGAGCAAGAAGGAGCGGGAGAAGCAGGCTCCCCGCCGAGCAAGGAGCCCGATGTGGGACTCAATCCCAGGACCCTGGGATCACGACCCGAGCCGAAGGCAGACGCCCAACCGACTGAGCCACCCAGGCATCCCAGTGTGTATTTTTAATTTATGTAATGGACATTATTCTGTATGTTGCATTTTGCTCCCTACTTTGGGCACCAAGCATAATGCTTTTAGGGTCGATGCACGTTGCTGTGTGTATGCCTATTCCATTTAACTTTGAGTTTCCCAGAAGCTGATCCTGAGACGAGGGTTTGGGTGCAGGCAGTTTACTTGGGAGGTGGTCCCGTGGAGGAAGAAGTGGGATGGGGGGAGAAGGCAGCCAGTTAAGAGCGTGTTGCAAAGCCAGCTGTCCCCAGGGTGGCTCTGAGAGACAGGGTACACCCGGCACCTCCGAGTTATCCCTCCCGAGAGCAGAGGGAGGTGTGGACTGCACATACCAATCTCTGCCAGCCATTGGTTGAGGGCTGCCCCCAGCACTGGGTGGCAGCTCTGTGTGCGGGGGAGGCGGGTGGGGTGGGTGGGCAAATGGGCTCCAACAGGAACCAACAATCGAGCAGCAATAAAACACGCAGCGGGCAGTTGAAAGGCCACTGCTGTGCGGAGACTCGATGACATTGAGGGGTACGGAGCTGACCAGCTGACCGTGACCGGATCTGCCACCTGCTGCGTGCCGTTCCCTCCGCGTTTCACCAACTCCAGCCCTCTGCCGTGAGCATCCGTGTGCCCGGACTTGAGCCAGAATTTGGGGGGGGCGCGTACACTTGGGAACACACTTGCTCTCTCAGGTGGTACAGCTCTGTTTCCTCTGAGCGAGAAAGCCCGACTCCGCCCCGGGGATGGCTGCACCATTCCATGGTGTCCCCCTCCGTGCTGAAGGCGCCTGCAGGCTCACGAGCCCATTCATCTTAGTCTCCTCCCGCTTTACAGGTGGGAAGGTAGAGGCCCAGAGAGAGTAACAGACTCCTCCGAACTGACCCAGGAGGCCAGTGTGGGGGGGGGGGTGGGGGGGGGGGTTGCCGTCCACACACTGTCATATGCCAGGCAATTCATACACATCCTCCAGCTCATGTGCTTTGTGACTCCCCGGCCACAAGCCTGGAGGACCGGAGTGAGCTGGTCTTTGTTGACTGGAGGAGAGCCCCCCTCCAGACTCGTGCGTCTGCCGGGCTGCAGGTGGGTGCTCTGACCTCGTGTTTGACAAGGGAGGACACCAAGGTTCAGAGAGGAGTGGGCGACTCAGCCCAAGGACACCCTTAGAAGGGGCTAAGGGGCCAGGGGTTCGTACCCAGACCTGATGAGTCGGCAGCTGTCCTTCTTGAGAGCCCCAGGGTAAGGGTTCTAATAGTTACCGAGCATCATCGACCTGCTGCGGGCCAGGCCCTGGTCTAAGTGGCTCCTTGGAGAAGTGAGGGGACATGCCCGGGATCTCACAGCCAAGATGTGGGACAGCAGTACTTGGACCTGGATCTGTCTAATTCCTGAACCAGGATTAAGGTCCATACTTAACCATGCTCCTTCGCATCTCCTTGCTCGGCCTCATTCGGCCCCAACCTCTACTCTTTCTGCGGTCTTCCTCAGCCCAGCTTTTACCTTTCTTCTGAGGCAGGCCGTGTATCTGTCCCTCTCTGCTCAGGGGTTGTTGCTTCCCCCCTCATGAGGCCAAGAAAGCCTCTCTGGCCTGGTGATGGCATCACCCAAGAGAATTTCCTTTCTCTTACCCTGAGACTGCCCCCGCGCCTCTCTGAAAGTCCCAGCTACAAACCAATGTTCCAACCATTTACGGCCCAAGTAAATGCTTTCATCTGGGGGAGGCATATAGGCTGTGAGGCCCCAGAGGTTCAATTTCTGGCTCTCATGTGTATTGGCTGTGTGACCTTGGGCCGGGCACTTAACCCTCTGTGAGCCTCCGATCCTTCATCTGTAAAACAAGCCTGATACTAGTACCTACCTCAGGGGTTGTGGGGAGGATTAAGTGAGAAGACGTCTAGAAGGTACTTTGCGGAGTGCCCTGTACCCAGGAGGTCCTCCGTACATGGTCGTGATGATGATGATGGTGGTGATCCGGGTGGTGGCTGTGGGATTATTTGCAGTAGTGCTAGTAGTATTCATAGCTGTTGTCTTGTTGCTCATACCAGTTGGGATTAGCAGACACTTCCAAGAGATAAAAACCAAAAATGGAGACCCAGATTGCTCGAGATCCCCTGGCAAATCAGGGGGTAAACGGATCAAAGCCAAGACTCCAGCCCCCAGGCTGATAAGCAGAAACACCTTCTCCTTCCCTGACGACATCCCTCCAACTCCTGTTCCCCAGTGTCTGTCCCCTTGGCTTGCTCGCAGAGAGGGAAGGGGGCAGGTGGGTAGGGAAGAAAGGGGTGGAGGGGAGGGGAAGGGTGCCAGTGATGCGGGAGAGCTGAGTTACCCAAGAGGGCAGGGAGGGTGAGGTTGGGGGGGCTGCAAACTGCTCCAAAGGGAAGGCAAGACCCTGCTTCAACCACTGACCAGCAAACACCCACTACTCTGCCCTTGGTGACCCCTAGATCCCTCCTGGGAGGATTGGGCATGACACCCTTCCCTCCACCCCCCCGAGCCCCTCCGATACACTCATTGACAAACACAGCCCAGCACGGCAAGGGCCTCCAGAGAATAACCGTGCTACGGTCCTTGGAGAATATCCAGGGTATCACTTAAATGTCACTAAATCATAAAGTGCCGAAGTTACTGAGTTTCCGATTTCCCTTCATTACTTCTCTTTACATCAAGAAGAACGTCCCTGTTGGAGCTAATCAGTCTTTTTTTTTTTTTTAAGATTTTTATTTATTTATTTGACAGAGAGAGCACAAGTAGAGCGGAAAGCAGAGCGAGAGGGAGAAGCAGGCTCCCCAGCTCATCAGGGAGCCCGATGTGGGGCTCGATCCCAGGATCCTGAAATCATGACCTGAGCTGAAGGCGGATGCTCAACCGGCTGAGCCAGCCAAGCGCCCTGGAGCTAATCAGTCTTAAACACCTTTCAAACATCTGTCAGCCTCCCCCATTTATTTATTTATTTAGATTTTATTTTATTGAGAGAGAGAGCGTGTGCACCTGAGCAGGGGGAGGGACAGAGGGAGAGGAGAGAATCCCAAGCAGACTCCACCCTGAGCGTGGAGCCCGGCGTAGCGCTCCATCTCACGACCCTGAGATCATGACCTGAGCCGAAACCAAGAGTCGGATGCTCAACCGACGGAGCCCCCGACATGCCCGCAAGCTCCCGCATTTTAAAAATGATGGGGAGCCTTGAACAGGAAACAAAGTCGAGTGAGAATTCAGGAGTGTGGTTGCGGTTTCCTTACATTTATTGTGGTGGTTTTGTTCTATGTTTTGCTGTGATGCTGGTTGTCCATTTAGAATTGAAATGTATTTTATTTTATTTTTTTTTTTTAAAGATTTTATTTATTTGACAGAGAGAGAGAGACACAGCGGGAGAGGGAACACAAGCAGGGGGAGTGGGAGAGGGAGAAGCAGGCTTCCCGCTGAGCAGGGAGCCCGATGCGGGGCTCGATCCCAGGACCCTGGAACCATGACCTGAGCCGAAGGCAGACGCTTAACGACTGAACTACCCAGGGGCCCCTAGAATTGAAATGTATTTTAATGAAAAACTGAGTTAACTTAAAGCCCAGTCGTATCTAAATAATAATAGAGGCGGCTGGACGAGGAGGCCGCTGGAGAAGGTGGTTTGCTGATAGCCAGCACTGCTATTGATGACCGGAGGTGAAGTCCAGTAAGGCTGAGCCAGCTCAAGGGCACGCAGGGTCAAAAGCGGCTGAGCTGCCAACCAAGCCAAGGGCACCCACACGGACTCCCCAGGGCCGGTGCTTTTCAACCTTGAGCTTCACTTTGGGACTCCAAGCCTGGCTAGCACTTCAAATGTGGCAGGAGTCCTAGGTTTGGAGGCTAGCCAGTTACTCTACCACTTCCCAGCTGTGTGACCTGGGACAAGGCACCCCATTGCTCTGGGCCTTAGTTTCCCTATCTCTAAAAGCAGACTGGACATCCCAGGGGGTAGGGAGCATTGGGTTTATCACTGAGCAGGGTGATGTTGTAGAAAGAAGCAGCCAGACCACATCTTCCCTTCCCAACACTGTGATCTTGGGGAGGCCACCTCACCTCGCTGGATAAGGGGCTGGGGGTTATTGGCAAGGTTCAAGGGGGATAGAATGCATGTGTCAGGGGGAGGGGGAGAGAAGCCTGGGCAGGGAGGTCAGGGTTACAGTGCAGAGATGTTTTATTCCCAGGATTAGAAAAACCTGGTGGCTGCTAGCCAGCAGGTGAGATACAGCCCCTTGAGTGAGTGAGGATGGATTTTTTTAATTCCTACACCAAAATTGGCCTCTCCTGGGGGTTTGGCAGGATCCCGAGGGGTGTAATTCCAGCCAGGAAGCCGGGGAGCCCAGAGCTGACTGGGGCCCGTGATTTTGCCTCTCTCTGGCTGCCCCTGTGACTCTCCAGGCGTTTCTGACCTTGAAAGGGGTTTTGTTCTCCAGATAATGTGCTCAATGTCACCTGGGAAAATCATGCCGACCGTCCAGGTGCCCAGAAACCTCAATGAGGCATTATAACCTGAAACCACATCCGGGCAGGCTCCAATTAGCTGGAATCCACCTACGGGAAGCTCGAAAGGGGCTGAACCTTTTTTCCTCCTCCATCTCAGCATCTAACTGTTGAGGGCAGTCGGGGATTCTGGAGCACTCGCCAAGCCCCATTGGAAACACCTTGCTTCATGTAAGCCTCCTGGCCACTCCACGGCAGGTGCTCTTATCACAGTTCCCATTGTTATTTTAAAGATTTTTTTAAAAATTTATTTGAGAGTGAGCGAGCAAGAGAGAGAGAGAGCAAGCTAACATGGGCGGGGGGTTGGGGCAGAGGCAGAGGGAGAAGCAGACTCCCCGCTGAGCAGGGAGCCCAATGCGCCCTAAACTAACCTTTTAATCTCACTTTGGGCTGAGGGCACAGAGCTGGAAGTCCAATGGCTTGACTTTGAGTACCTGCTTTACCCTTGCTTCCTTGTTTACCACTTACTTGCTGAGCCTTCCTTTCGTCTTCTGTACAGATGGGAACTCTGGGGCGCCTGGGGTGGCTCAGTCATTAAGCGTCTGCCTTCGGCTCAGGTCAGGATCCTGGAGTCTTGGGATTGAGCCCCGCATCGGGCTCCCTGCTCAGCAGGGAGTCTGCTTCTCCCTCTGCCTCTGTTCCAACCCCTGAGCTCGTGCTCTCTGTCTCAAATAAATAAATCTTTAAAAAAAAAATAAAAAGTTAGTTTAAAAGTCAGATAGATACACAGCAGCTTCCTGGGCGGTCCACGGTTAGGGCTTGGTCCGCCCTCCCACCTGATCTGGCCAGGGAGCATGCAGGGTCCCAGAGGAGACAAAGTCAGCACAGCAGGCGAGCAATGGGGCTTGGGAGGCTAGAGGTGGCTGCCAGCGCTTGGGTATGTCCCTACGGCCAAGTCCCTTTCTTTTTCCCGGCTTCCATGTCCTTATCGGTTAACCAAAGGGGTGGATTGTTCATTCATTCACTTTTATGTGCCCAGCCCAATGTGACCTTCATGGATACAGCAGTGAACAGAACACCGTCTGTGCCCTCTAGGAGCTTAGGGTTTTGTGGGCAAGACACACAAACAGGATAGAACAATATGGTCCATCCATCCATCCATCCATCCGTCCGTCCAACAAATATTTATTGAGTATCTGTTACGTTCCAGGAAGTGTTCTAGGTGTTGCAGATTTAATAGTGAGGAAAACAGACAAAACTGCTGTCCTCACAGAGCTTATACTCTAGAAGGAAAGCAAGACAGTAAGGGTATAAACAAGTCAGTATATAAGATACCAGATATTAATAAATGCCATAGAGAAAAATGAAGCAGGGAAGGGAGAGGCTGAGTGATCAGAGAGGTCACGGAAAGCCAGGAGAAGGTGACTTTTGGGCAGGAGCTGAAGGAGGAAGCCATGTGGATTTGTGGGGGAAGAATATTCCAGGCAGTGGGAGGTGCAGGTGCAAAGGCCCTGTGGTGAGCATGTGCTTGGCAAGTTTCAGGAAGAAAAGAAGCTGGGGGAAGGCAGGGGGCGTGGAGGGCCTTGTCGGCAATGAAGATCTTTGGCTTTTAATTTCTGAGTGAGATGCAGAATCTGCAGATAGGCCTGAGCAGGAGTGTGGCAACCTGTCTTGTGTTTTCAAAAGAATTCTCAGGGAGCACCTGGGTGGCTCATCAGTTAAGCGTCCAACTCTTGATTTCAGCTCAGGTCATGAGATGGGGCTCTGCATCTGGCTCCACGCTGAGCGTGGAGCCTGCTTGAGATTCTCTCTCCTGCACCCTTTGCCCTCCCCATTCCCTCTCTCCCTCTCTAAAAAATATAAATTAAATTAATTAATTAAATAAAATAA